GTGGTGATGTTATTTGGGGGTCTGTCATCCTGGTGACGACTGACAGGGAGCTCTGGTGTGGACTGGTCTATGAAGTCACGAAGAGTCGGAAATGACTGAACGAATGAACAACAACAACATCCTGGAAGCAGCTGTAACCCTTTCTTGCTTTTCCCTGGGGAAAAGGAGAAAGGGACTGGACTGGGAAATGGCCAGAGGGATTGGCCATAACAGCAACAACAGCAACAAGCTACTACTACTATTACTACCAATGTCCACAAGAAGGGGACAACTGTGGTCATATGGATGGTGACTCTCCTTTGTGTTCAGAGAAGGTCCTCATAGCTGGGATTGAGGTGGAGGGAGGGATTGGAGGGAAGGGTCCCAAGTCCTTGCTTGAGCCATGATGATGATGGTGGTGGTGGTGGTGATGATGATGATGATGTTATTTGGGGGGTCTGTCATCCTGGAAGCAGCTGGGACCCTTGCTTTTCGCTGGGGAAGAGGAGGAAGGAACTGGACTGGGAAATGGCCAGTGGGATTGGCCATAACAGCAGCAACAACAACAACAAGCTACTACTACTCTTACTACTAATGTCCAACAAAGCTACTATTACTATTACTACTATTACTATTACTACTAATGTGGTCATATGAGTGGTGACTCTCCTCTGTGTTTGGAGAAGGAGGTCCTCACATTTGCGGGGAGGGCATTGGAGGGAAGGAAAGGTCCCGAATCCTGGCTTGAGCCATGATGATGATGATGATGATGATGATGACGGTGAGGGCAGTGGTGATGATGTTACTTGGGGGTCTGTCATCCTGGAAGCAGCTGGGACTCTTCTTTGCTTTTCCCTGGGGAAGAGGAGGAAGGGACTGGACTGGGAAATGGCCAGTGGGATTGGCCATAACAGCAACAACAGCAACAAGCTACTACTACTATTACTACCAATGTCCACAAGAAGGGGACAACTGTGGTCATATGGATGGTGACTCTCCTTTGTGTTCAGAGAAGGTCCTCATAGCTGGGATTGAGGTGGAGGGAGGGATTGGAGGGAAGGGTCCCAAGTCCTTGCTTGAGCCATGATGATGATGGTGGTGGTGGTGGTTGGTGATGATGATGTTATTTGGGGGTCTGTCATCCTGGAAGCAGCTGGGACCCTTCTTTGCTTTTCCCTGGGGACGAGGAGGAAGGGACTGGACTGGGAAATGGCCAGTGGGATTGGCCATAATAATAACAACAACAAAAACAGCAACAACATCAACCACAACAACTGAGATTGACCATAACAGCAGCAGCAGCAGCAGCAGCAACAACAACAACAACAACAACAAGCTACTACTACTATTACTACTAATGTCCACAAGAAGGGGACAACTGTGGTCATATGGATCGTGACTCTCCTGTGTTTGGAGAAGGAGGTCCTCACAGCTGGGAATGAATGGGGGGGGGGCATTGGAGGGAAGGAAGTTTCTGAGTCCTGGCTTGAGCCATGATGATGATGATGGTGGTGGTGGTGGTGGTGATGATGGTGGTGGTGGTGATGATGTTACTTGGGGGTCTGTCATCCTGGAAGCAGCTGGAACCCTTCCTTGCTTTTCCCTGGGGAAAAGGAGGAAGGGACTGGACTGGGAAATGGCCAGAGGGATTGGCCATAACAGGAACAACAACAACAAGCTACGACTACTATTACTACTAATGTCCACAAGAAGGGGACAACTGTGGTCATATGGATGGTGACTCTCCACATAGCTGGGATTGAAGTGGGGGGGCACTGGAGGGAAGGAGGGGTCCCGAGTCCTGTCTTGAGCCATGATGATGTTGGGGTTCAATCACATGTGTAAAGAGCATAGAGGATTCGACCCACAGCCCAGTGTTCAGAGTGAGAGTAGCTGAAGAGCTATGATGACCTACTCTGACCCCCTGGGAGCGTCCAGACAAGAAAGCCACATTCCAGGAACAGACTGAATATGAATATGAGTAGGGGGTCCTGGCGCTTGGAAATGGTCAAGTGTCCTGTTGGGGGGTCTGGCTTGAGCCAAGCCCTCCCAGACCACAAATGCCCAGGGCAAGGGGACTTCAGGGTCACTCTCCCTGGAGTTTAGCCTGAAGGTTGAAGGACCTCAGCCTGATTTGGGACCCTCCCTGGACATTTGGAAGAGCATGTAGTCCAAGCTCGTTCTGTTGAGAGTCCAACGCCCCTCCCCTGGCTGGCCAGATTGAGACTGACCCCATCCCCCTTAAATAAGCATCCCCTCAATTTGTCTGTCTTTCTCGCCCCCCCCCCCTTTTCCTGAGTGGTCATTGGGGAGGCCTTGGAGCCGGACACATCGATCTGGCACTGACCCCTTGGAGGTCACTGCAGGCGGCCCTTGCCTGGCCCTCCGTCATCCATCAGAAAGTGGAAAGGAATGGGGCAATTGCCTTCTCTCATAGGATGGAGAGCAAGACGTCAAAGAGCTCAGCAGTGCTCCATGTATTCAGAAAGACAACAACAACAACAACAACAACAACAACAAATAACACTTTCAAACCAGGAACAGAACTTTTTTTGCAATTTTTGTTACATAGTGTTATTATAATAAGAATAATAAATTATGATTGAGAATTGATATGTATTGGCTAACTTTGCTTACTTATTTACTTACTTAGGTGATCCCTCGTTGTCCGAGTAGGATAGTCTTCTAGGGTGGGTCCGTAGGTGACTGTGGAGCCCTCTTCTTGACCTGCATCTTCTCCCTTCTGCAGTGAGGGCATTGGTTTCCAGACGGAAGGCGGTCCCGGTCGGGGTTGGCTTGACGCGCCTTCCTCTTAGCACATTTCTCTCTTTCACCCTCCATCCGTGCTTCTTTGAATTCTGCATCACTGCTGGTCACAGCTGACCTCCAGCTGGAACGCTCAAGGGCCAGGGCTTCCCAGTTTTCAGTGTCTATGCCACAGGTTTTGAAGGTTGGCTTTGAGCCCATCTTTCAATCTCTTTTCCTGCCCACCCACATTCTGTTTTCCGTTCTTGAGTTTGGAGTAGAGCAACTGCTTTGGGAGATGGTGGTCAGGCATCCAGACAACGTGGCCGGTCCAGCAGAGTTGATGGCAGAGGAGCATCACTTCAATGTGGTGGTCTTTGCTTCTTCTTCCAGCACACTGACGTTTGTCCACCTGTCTTCCCAAGAGATTTGCAGGATTTTCCGGAGGCAGCGCTGATGGAATCATTCCAGAAGTTGCATGTGATGTCTGTAGACAGTCCACGTTTTGCAGGTGTATAGCAGGGTTGGGAGGACAATGGCTTTATAAACAAGTACCTTGGTCTCAAACACTCTCTGCTTCATTCGGAAAAATGCTATACTTGCAGAGCTCAGGCAGTGTTATTTTTCAGAGCCAATGTTGACGTCTGTAGACAGTCCACGTTTCGCAGACATAGAGCAGGGTTGGGAGGACAATAGCTTTATAAACAAGCACTTTGGTATCCCTACGGATGTCTCGGTCCTCAAACACTCTCTGCTTTATTCAGAAAAATGCTCCACTCACAGAGCTCAGGCGGTGTTATATTTCAGTGTCAATGTTGACGTCTGTAGACAGTCCACGTTTCACAGACATATAGCAGGGTTCAGAGGACAATGGCTTTATCAACAAGCCCCTTGGTCTCCCTACAGATGTCCCGGTCCTCAAACACTCTCTGCTTCATTCAGAAAAATGCTGCACTTGTAGAGCTCAGGCGGTGTTATATTTCAGTGTCAATGTTGACGTCTGTAGACAGTCCACGTTTCGCTGACATATAGCAGGGTTCAGAGGACAATGGCTTTATCAACAAGCACCTTGGTCTCCCTACAGATGTCCCGGTCCTCAAACACTCTCGGCTTCATTCAGAAAAATGCTGCATTCACAGAGCTCAAGCAGTGTTATATTTCAGTGTCGATGTTGACGTCTGTAGACAGTCCATGTTTCTCAGGCGTATAGCAGGGTTGGTAGGACAATGGCTTTATAAACAAGCACCTTGGTATCCCTATGGATGTTCCGGTCCTCAAACACTCTCTGCTTCATTGGGAAAAATGCTGCACTCACAGAGCTCAAGCGGTGTTATATTTCAGTGTCAATGTTGACGTCTGTAGACAGTCCATGTTTCACAGACATATAGCAGGGTTGGGAGGACAATAGCTTTATCAACAAGCCCATTGGTATCCCTGTGGATGTCCCGGTCCTCAAACACTCTCTGCTTCGTTCGGTAAAAAACTGCACTCGCAGAGCTCAGACGGTGTTGTATTTCAGTGTCGATGTTGACTTTGGTGGAGAGGTGGCTGCCAAGAGAGTGGAAATGGTCCTTTCCTTTGGTAATACAGTTAAGAAGCAACAAAAAACTTATTCCAGATAGAGATTGTTGTTGTTGTTGATGTGAGGGCGGGGCCAAACATCTTGGGCCGATGAGGAGGTTTCCAGGGCGAGTAGATTAGATCCGAGAATGCAGGGAGTGTAATTTACACCCTATTTACACCCTATTTTTTTTTTTATCTCTGACCAAGACTAAATGCAACCTTGCTACAAAAAAAAGACGCAATATTGGAAAATCTTTAAGAAAACAACTTAGAGAATATTGCTTTTTTTAAATCTTGGAAAGTGGCATTGGGGGGAAAAGTGGGGTATAAATAAATAATAATAATAATAGAGCTACTGCGAGACGTTAATTAGTAATTTGTGGCTCAATGCCTCGTGCTTTTGTGTGTGTTTTAACTGTGTTGTACCGTGGCTTGAGCCATGAGAAGAGTCCAACAAACAATAACAACAATAACAACAGTAGCATTATTATTATTATTATTATTATTATTATTATTATTATTATTATTTAGAACCACGTGTGGTCATTGCCTTTGCTTTCTGGACGTTTTAGCCACCGACCTCCCTTTGCCCTTCCTTCCTGGACTTACTTTGGTGGTCTCACCTTGCTTGTGTCCTTTCTTTGCTGGTCCAGTTGACCCATATTTGAATGACTGACCGCTCCGTTGTGTCCTGTCTTCCGACCCCTTTCCAGGGAAGTTCAAGCTGCTGGACCAGGACCGGGACGTGCGGGAGCCGGTGCAGTTCTTCAGCAGCGTGGAGGAAGTGGCCGGCACCTTCCCCGACCGCGTCTTCGTCCTGGAAGCCATCACCTTCAGCGTCAAGGTGGGCCGCACCTGCACATGGGTCCTGGGGGCGGACGGCGGACCCTGGGATTTGTAGTTCGGTGGGAGGACTGATGGCCAGCTTGGGCTCTCCCCCAAGTGCTTTGGACTTCAACCCTCACAATTCCTAACAGCCTACCAGCTCTTAGGAAGTTTTGTGGGAGTCAAGTCCAAAACACCTGGAGGGCGGGGCCAAGTTGGCTCGTGCCTGCCTTAGGCTCCTACTACTAAGGAGGCTGTTCAGATCCTGAACCGGTGCTTGGCCGCTGTGACGGTCTGGATGAGAGCGAACAAATTGAAATTGAATCCAGACAAGACAGAGGTACTCCTGGTCAGTCGCAAGGCCGAACAGGGCATAGGGTTACAGCCTGTGTGGGATGGGGTCGCACTCCCCCTGAAGACGCAGGTTTGCAGCTTGGGTGTGACCCTGGACTCATCGCTGAGCCTGGACCCAGAATTAGCAGTACCAGGGGAGCATTCGCACAGTTAAAACTCGTGCGCCAGCTGCGCCCGTACCTTGGGAAGTCTGACTTGGCCACGTAGTCCACGCTCTGGTTACATCCCGTATAGACTACTGCAACGCTCTCTACGTGGGGTTGCCTTTGAAGACGGCTCGGAAGCTTCAAATGGTCCAACGCTCGGCAGCATACCACTCCTCTGTTGTGCCAGCTCCACTGGCTGCCAATTTGCTACCGGGCACAATTCAAAGTGCTGGCTTTAGCCTTTAAAGCCCTAAACGGTTCTGGCCCAACCTACCTGTCCGAACGCGTCTCCTCCTATGAACCAGTTAGGACATTAAGATCGTCTGGGGAGGCCCTGCTCTCGATCCCGCCGGCTTCACAAGCACGCCTGGCGGGGATGAGAGACAGGGCCTTCTCAGTGGTGGCCCCTCGGCTGTGGAACGCCCTTCCTGCAGATATCAGATCAACCCCTTCCTTGGTGGCGTTCCGGAGGAAAGTGAAGACCTGGCTGTTTGAACAGGCATTCAACTAAGCAGTGTGATTGATTGACTGACTATCGGAACACGGATTATTGGATAACGAGTTTGGATTCAGATTTCATTGATGAGACCTGATGAAGTTTTATTATTGATGTAGTGATGTATTGATATTGATGTTTAATGATTTGTGATGCTATTGCTTTTAAATGCTTAATGATTTTGTATTGTGTATATCTAAATTGTTGTAAACCGCTCTGAGTCGCCCAAGGGCTGAGAAGAGCGGTATACAAATCAAGTAAGTAAGTAAATAGATAAATAAATTGGATAGCTGTGACCATCGCAATGGCCTGAAAGTGTACAATTCACTGCTAGAGAGTTCTTCCAGGGGACTGGGTTAGAACTCTCTTCCCACTAAACTACAAAGCCCAGGGTCCCATAAAATGGAGCCAAGGCCATTTAAGGGGGTCTCTGGGTGGTCCTGGGAGAGACCCTGAAAGTGGCTGACCATCCCCATCTGCTCGGGGCAGATTCTCTCCTCCCTCCCTCCCTCCCTCCCCCCTCCCTCCCTCCCTCCCTCCCTCCCTCCCTCCCTCCCTCCCTCCCTCCCTCCCTTTGTCAATGCTGGCATTGTGAATATACTTCCTTCCTTTCCCTTTCCCTCTCCCTCTCTCCCTTCCTTCCTATCAATTCTGTGAATACCTTCCTTCCTTCCTTCCTTCCTTCCTTCCTTCCTTCCTTCCTTCCTTCCTTCCTTCCTCCCTCCCTCCCCTCCCTCTCCCTCTCCCTCTCCCTCTCGCCCTTCCTTCCTATCAATTCTGTGAATACCTACCTTCCTTCCTTCCTTCCTTCCTTCCTTCCTTCCTTCCTTCCTTCCTCCCTCCCTCCCTCCCTCCCTCCCTCCCTTTCCCTCTCCCTCTCTCCCTTCCTTCCTATCAATTCTGTGAATACCTTCCTTCCTTCCTTCCTTCCTTCCTTCCTTCCTTCCTTCCTTCCTTCCTTCCTTCCTTCCTTCCTCCCTCCCTCCCTCCCTCCCTCCTCCTTCCTGTCTTCCCCTTCCTTCCTTCCTTCCTTCCTTCCTTCCTTCCTTCCTTCCTTCCTTCCTTCCTTCCTTCTCCCTCCTTCCTTCCTCCTCCTTTCTTCCTCCTTCCTGCCCCTTCCTTCCTTCCTTCCTTCCTTCCTTCCTTCCTTCCTTCCTTCCTTCCTTCCTCCTTCCTTCCTGCCTTCCTTCCTTCCTGCCTTCCTTCCTTCCTTCCTTCCTTCCTTCCTTCCTTCCTTCCTTCCTTCCTTCCTTCCTTCCTTCCTTCCTTCCTTCCTTCCTCCTTCCTCCCTCCCTCCCTCCCTCCTCCCTCTCCCTCTCGCCCTTCCTTCCTATCAATTCTGTGAATACCTACCTTCCTTCCTTCCTTCCTTCCTTCCTTCCTTCCTTCCTTCCTCCCTCCCTCCCCTCCTCCCTCCCTCCTCCCTCCCCTCCCTTCCCTTCCCCTTCCTTCCTTCTTTTCCTTCCTTCCCTTCCTTTCCTTCCTTCCTTCCTTCTTCTTCCTCTTCCTCCTCCCTCCCTCCCTTCCTTCTCCATCTCTCCCTCCTCTCTCTCTTCTCTTTCCCTTCCTTCCTTTTCCTCCTCTCCCTCCCTCCTCCTTCTCTCTCCCTCTCCTTCCTTCCTCCTTCCTTCCTTCTCCTTCCTTTCCTTTTTCTTTTCATTCCTTCCTTCCCCTTCCTTCCTTCTTCCTTCCTTTCCTCCTTCCCTCTCTCCCTCCCTCTCTCTCCCTCTACCTTCCTTCCTTCTCTTCCTTCCTTCCTTCCTTCCTTCCTTCCTTCCTTCCTTCCTTCCTTCCTCTCCCTCCCTCCCTCTCCCTCTCCCTCTCCCTCTCCCTCTCGCCCTTCCTTCCTATCAATTCTGTGAATACCTACCTTCCTTCCTTCCTTCCTTCCTTCCTTCCTTCCTTCCTTCCTCCCTCCTTCCTCCCTCTCCCTCTCGCCCTTCCTTCCTATCAATTCTGTGAATACCTTCCTTCCTTCCTTCCTTCCTTCCTTCCTTCCTTCCTTCCTTCCTGCCTCTTGTGAGCTGTTCTGAGTCCCCTTCCTTCCTTCCTTCCTTCCTTCTTTCCTTCCTTCCTTCCTTCCTTCCTTCCTTCCTTCCTTCCTTCCTTCCTTCCTTCCTTCCTTCCTTCTTTCCTTCCTTCCTTCCTTCCTTCCTTCCTTCCTTCCTTCCTTCCTTCCTTCCTTCCTCCTCCCTCCCTTCTCCCTCTCCCTCTCGCCCTTCCTTCCTATCAATTCTGTGAATACCTACCTTCCTTCCTTCCTTCCTTCCTTCCTTCCTTCCTTCCTTCCTTCCTTCCTCCTCCCTCCCTCCCTCCCTCCCTCCCTCCCTCCCTCCCTTCCTTCTTTCCTCCTTCCTCCTTCCCTTCCTCACTTCCTTCATTATTTCTTTCCTCACTACCTTCCTTCCTCCTCCCTTCCTCCCTTCCGTCCTTCCTTATTTCCTTCCTCCCTCCTTCCCTTCTTCACTTCCTTCCATCCTTCCAGCCTTATTTCCTTGCTCACTTCCTTCCTCCTTCCCTTCCTCACTTCCTTCATTATTTCTTTCCTCACTACCTTCCTTCCTCCTCCCTTCCTCCCTTCCGTCCTTCCTTCCTTCCTTCCTTTCCCTTCCTTCCTTCTTCCTTCTCTTCCTTCCTTCCTTCCTTCCTTCCTTCCTTCCTCCCTCCCTTTCCCTCTCCCTCTCTCCCTTCCTTCCTATCAATTCTGTGAATACCTTCCTTCCTTCCTTCCTTCCTTCCTTCCTTCCTTCCTTCCTCCCTCCCTCCCTCCCTCCCTCCCTCCCTTTCCCTCTCCCTCTCTCCCTTCCTTCCTATCAATTCTGTGAATACCTTCCTTCCTTCCTTCCTTCCTTCCTTCCTTCCTTCCTTCCTTCCTTCCTCCCGTTCCCTTTCCCTCTCTCCCTTCCTTCCTATCAATTCTGTGAATACCTTCCTTCCTTCCTTCCTTCCTTCCTTCCTTCCTTCCTTCCTTCCTTCCTTCCCTTCCTTCCTTCCTTCCTTCCTCCATCCATCCATCCATCCATAATTCTAGCATTGTGATTTTGCATTTGATCTTGTTTCAAGTTGTTTATCTTTTTGTATTGTCGAAGGCTTTCATGGCCGGAATCACTGGGTTGTTGTAGGCTTTTTTCGGGCTATATGGCCATGTTCTAGAGGCATTCTCTCCTGACGTTTCGCCTCCATCTATGGCAAGCATCCTCAGAGGTAGTGAGGTCTGTTGGAACTAGGAAAAAGGGTTTATATATCTGTGGAATGACCAGGGTGGGACAAAGGACTCTTGTCTGCTGGAGCTAGGTGTGAATGTTTCAACTGACCACCTTGATTAGCATTTGATAGCCTGGAAGTGCCTGGAGCAATCTTTTGTTGAGAGGTGATTAGATGTCCCAGATTGTTTTCCCTCTGCTGTTTTGCTGTTTTAATTTTAGAGTTTTTTAATACTGGTAGCCAGATTTTGTTCATTTTCATGGTTTCTTCCTTTCTGTTGAAATTGTCCACATGCTTGTGGATTTCAATGGCTTCTCTGTGTAGCCTGACATGGTGGTTGTGAGAGTGGTCCAGCATTTCTGAGTTCTCAAATAATCTGCTGTGTCCAGGTTGGTTCCTCAGGTGCTCTGCAATGGCTGACTTCTCTGGCTGAAGGAGTCTGCAGTGCCTTCCATGTTCCTTGATTCATGTGTTGGGCATTGCTGCTGCGTTTGGTGGTCCCTCTGGAGACTTCTTGTCCACAGCTGCATGGGATACGGTAGACTCCTGCAGAAGTGAGAGGATCCCTCTTGTCCTTTGCTGAACGGAGCATTGGTTGGATTTTCTTGGTGGGTCTGGAGATAGTTTGTATGTTGTGTTTCCTCATCAGCTTCCCTCTGCGGTCAGTGGTTCCCTTGATGTCTGGCAAGAACACTTTTCCTCTGGGTGGATCTTGGTCTTGAATCTTTACTCTCGTGGTCTTGCAGCTCTTCTGATGTCTGAGGTGGAGTCTCCATTGGCCTGGAGAGCCCAGTTGAGGTGGTTCAGTTCATCTTGGAGGAGGTGGGCTTTGCAGATTCTTTTTGCACGGTCTGCCAAGGCTTTAATGGTGCTTCTTTTTTTACTTGCTCCTTCCTAGAATCAAAGAGTTGGAAGAGACCTCATGGGCCATCCAGTCCAACCCCATTCTGCCAAGAAGCAGGAATATTGCATTCAAATCACCCCTGACAGATGGCCATCCAGCCTCTGTTTCAAAGCTGCCAAAGAAGGAGCCTCCACCACACTCCGGGGCAGAGAGTTCCACTGCTGAACGGCTCTCACAGTCAGGAAGTTCTTCCTCATGTTCAGATGGAATCTCCTCTCTTGTAGTTTGAAGCCATTGTTCCCTTGCGTCCTAGTCTCCAAGGAAGCAGAAAACAAGCTTGCTCCCTCCTCCACCCTGTGGCTTCCTCTCACATATTTATACATGGCTATCATATCTCCTCTCAGCCTTCTCTTCTTCAGGCTAAACATGCCCAGCTCTTTAAGCCGCTCCTCATAGGACTTGTTCTCCAGACCCTTGATCATTTTAGTCGCTGGTTGGAGTTTTTATGTCGATATCGATCTCTGTGTGTGGGTTTTCTGTAAATTGTGTGACTCAATTGTTGATCTGGTTTGCGGAAGACTAGGACATCTAGAAAAGGCAGTGCTTATCTTTTCTTTTTCTCCTTTAACATTCTTTTTTAGTTGTTCCTGCTCACTTGTGATTCCGAAGCTGTCTGCGCATGTGCAGGAAATACCACATGTGCGATTTCACAGGGACCATGATGGAGAAAAATAATTATTATTCATTCCATGCCCCCCTTTCAATTAATTAATATCCTGTATAGAAGGGGTTTCTCATACTATTTCAATATATATATATAAAACCAAAATGTTGTTATAGCTCAGCAAGCGTCAAGAGGACTTTTTTTGAAGGTTCAGAGGATGAGCAGGATGATGGGTTTCAAGGTGAGGTGTCTGTGAGTGATCAAGGAGAACTGCAACTAGATGGGGCCAATGATAGGAGATTCCATCTGAACATTAGGAAGAACTTCCTGACTGTGAGAGCCGTTCAGCAGTGGAACTCTCTGCCCCGGAGTGTGGTGGAGGTTTCTTTGGAAGCTTTTAAACAGAGGCTGGATGGCCATCTGTCGGGGTGCTTTGAATGCAATATTCCTGCTTCTTGGCAGAATGGGGTTGGACTGGATGGCCCATGAGGTCTCTTCCAACTCTTATTCTATGATTCTATGATTCTATGTTTTGGATTCCTGTGCTTGTTCAGGGGAAAGTGAAAGTTCCAGTTTCCTGGCGAAAACACCTTGTGCTGATGAGGAGGTTTCCAGGGAGAGTTGATTAGACCCGAGAACACAGGGAGTGTAATCCAGGCAAACTCGATATTCCCAGAGAATCTGAGATTAGACCCTGAAGGCCAGGTGCATCAGGCATGATTTCATGGGTGTCTCAGGGCCCTTTCACACAGCCCTTTATCCAAGAATATCAAGGCAGAAAATCCCACATTATCCGAGTGTGGACTCAGATAACCCAGTTCAAAGCAGATATTGTGGGTTATTCTGCCTTAATATTCTGGGATAGAGGTCTGTGAGGAAGTGCCCTTAGAGGGCCTAAATTAAGTGATTTGGTTTCAGGCCCCTCAGAGGAGACAACGTTGCTTTTAGAAGATAGTTCATTTATTTATTTATTTACTTTGCTTCTATACCGCTGTTCTCAGCCCGGGGGCGACTCACAGCGGTGTACAACATAGAAAGAACAAAATTCAAGACACAGTATAAAAACAATTCACAATCCAGCATTATACAAAAACATCATCATTACTACGAAAACCATTCAGCGTCGTCTCATCGTCCAAACCACAATCCAATATCATTTTCCGTTGTTCCGTTCCTATAGTCATTACCAATCATTGCACTTCTTATTCGAACTCCTTCTTGAACAACCAAGTCTTTAATTTCCTGCGGAATATCATCAGAGAAGGTGCCAGTCTGATGTCTACGGGAAGGGTGTTCCACAGCTGAGGAGCCACCACCGAGAAGGCCCTGTCTCTCGTCCCCGCCAGCCGTGCTTGTGAAGCAGGCGGGATCGAGAGCAGGGCCTCCCCGGAAGATCTCAAAGTCCTGGTGGTTCTTCTGTTTCTGCTCCCAAGTTCTTGTCCAAATATTCTCAAGTTTCCTGTGTTTGCTGATGCCCGTGTTTCCTTAGAGTTTACCTTGGAAAAGTTCAGAAATTTATGTTTGGAGTACTCCTGTGGATTTTGGTTTCCTTGGCTTTATGTTCCTTGTTATTTTTGAATTACTGCTATCTTATATTTTCTATTCTATTGACCCTTTTGGAATTGCCCTTTTACCCTTATTTAGAAGTGACTTGCAGTTTCTCAAGTCGCTCCTCACACGACAAAAAAATCTGCATTTTTAGATAGAATTACTGGACTCTGGTGTGGCGCTGGATGAAAAGGTGTTTTAGTGCGAGTGCAACAATCCCCAAATTTTAAAATCTCATTCTTTTTTATTTCTTGTTCAGCCATTTTTAAAAATTTTCTCTTCCAGTCAATACCGGAGTTTTTAGTTTCGACTACCTATCGTGTTTTGGAATTATCCTTTCTTTAACATCCTGTGCTCCCTATTCAAGAACATAGTCTCGCTCATTCTTCTCTAAAGTCATTCTCTAAGGTCTATTCCTTGGGGTTTTCGTTTCCTGTGTTGCAGCCAGCATTTACCTCAAAGGTCTGATCCACTTGTGTGGATTGCATGCTTTAAGTCTGCCCACTAAGTGACAAATCCCGGGATGTTTCAGGATGGAGCCACGGCCATGTTGCAGGCAGATGGGGCCAATGTTTTGGATTCCTGTGCTTGTTCAGGGGAAAGTGAAAGTTCCAGTTCCCTGGAGAAAAGACCTTGGGCTGATGAGGTTTCCAGGGAGAATAGATTAGACCCGAGAACACAGAGAGTGTAATCCAGGCAAACTAGATATTCCCAGAGAATCCAAGCTAAGACCCCGAAGGCATCATCATCCCTCCTCGCCTTCAGGAGAAGGGTGAAGTCGTGGTTATGGGACCAGGCCTTTGGGCACTCCGGCAATTAAATCAGACAACCAGGCGAGTAAGACCAGCAGGATTGATGAAGTGGAACGTAAAACTAGATCTATGAGTAGCGAACGCTGACCATGTAAGAGGAGAAATTGGGTTTGTATTTGGTTTTATTGATTTTATGGTTATAATGTATATTTGGTGTTAACTGTGTATTGATGTAATTTTGTGTTTGATTGTTTTTATGATGCAGGCATCAAATTGTGCCTTGCTTTTGTAAGCCGCCCTGAGTCCCCTTCGGGGTGAGAAGGGCGGGGTAAAAGAACCCCAAATAAATAAATAAAAAATAATGTTGTTGCTGATCTCTGGGCGACTGGACATGGCTTGATGTCCCCTCTGATGGTGGTGGTCCCCTTTCACCTTCTCCCTCCCTCCTTCTCTCCCTGCAGGTGGTCTCAGGTGAGTTCAGCGAGGACAGTGAGGTCTACAACTTCTCCCTCCACGCCGGGGACGAGCTGACGCTCATGGGCCAGGCGGAGATCCTGTGCGCCAAAGCCCCTAAGGAGAAGTCCCGCCTTAACACCTTGTTGAGGAAGTTGGGCAAAGCCGGAGTGGGCGGTGGTGGCATCATCAGTGGCGGAAGTGGCCCCACCGAGGGGGTCAGCAGCACCGGGCTCAAGGCCCTGAAGGGCAAGATGCCCTGCCTGATCTGCATGAACCACCGGACCAACGAGAGCCTCAGCCTGCCCTTCCAGTGCAAGGGGCGCTTCAGCACCCGCTCACCCCAGGAGCTGCAGATGCAGGAAGGGGAGCACACCGTACGCAGCATCATCGAGAAGGTAGAGTGGGTCATACCTGTGAAACGAGTCTGGGAGACTGAACAGGAGCCGGGAGTGTGATGCTGCAGCGGAAATAGGCCAATGCGATTCTAGGCTGCATCTAGAGGGGTGGAGTGCCTAGAACAGCTGTGGTCATGACTCCGCTTCTTTGCATATCCCTCAAGTTCCACATCACCACCTGCTTAGCCCTTCAGCAGCTGTGTGACCACATGTCCATTAGAACTGTATTTTCCAACCAGTTATTCACAATGGGATTACAGTCAATGCATTCCTATCTAAAAGTGCATTCTCTACCTAACGGAAACTTCCATTAGCATGGGACTGGGTTGGAGATCGCTATCTGATGATCCTAAATCAGGATGGACCAACTTTGGCCCACCCTCCAGGTGTTTTGGACTTCAACCCCTACAATTCCTAACAGCCTACCTGCTGTTAGGAATTGTGGGAGTTGAAGTCCAAAACACCTGGGGGTGTGAAGTTGGCCCATGTCTAAACTTGGACTATATGACCTTTTGGTGCCCCCTCCAACTTATAATTCTATTACTAAAGTTTGTAGGATGGCCTTTGAATGATTGAGAATGGGCCTGGACTGGATGGCCTTAGAGTTTCCCTTCCAACTGCTTCAAGGTCTTTAAGTAGAAGCTTGATGGCCATCAGTTGGGAGGGCTTGCCTTGTGTGTTCCTCATGGGATTGAACTGGATGACGTTTTGAGGCTGTCTAGCCATCAGTCCGTCGTAAGGGCTTGTAGATCTCTCCTGGAGTCAGACTGGTTGGCCTCTGGGATCCCTCTCCAACTGTAGTGGAACCTAGGGTCCAGTAGAGCCTCCTTCTCTGATGTATGGTTGTCAGTTGGGAGGGCTTGAGTATTCTTCATGGGGTAAGACTGAATGATCTTTGGGGCTCCACTCCAACTAGCTCATTCCATGGTCCTCTGCCCCTAGATGATGGCCTTTGGATGATTGAGAATAGGCTTGACCTGGATTGCCTTTGGGGTTCCCTCCCAACTTTAGTGGAAAATAAACCGTCAACTGGACTCTCCTTTGGGGAGTCTTTAAAGAGACGCTGAATTGCCATCAGTCAGGAGGGCTATGACAATGTATTCCTTGTGGGGTTGGACTGGATGGCCTCTGGGGCTGCCCTCCAACTCCAGTGGAATACTAACTTCCCTGGTGTCCAGTGGAATCCCCTTTTCTGATGGATGGCCATCAGTAAGTAGGGCTTGGATTGGTATTCCTCGTGGAGTCAGACCGGATGGCCTTTTGAGGCTAGATGGCCTTTAGGGCTCCCTTCTAATTCTAGCAGAGCCTTCTTCTCTGATATCCATCGGCTGTCGGTTGGGAGGGCTTTGATCATATATTCCTCACGGGATGGGACTGGATGGCCTTTGGGGCTCCCCTCCAACTCCATTGGAACACTAGAGTCCAGCAGATTCTCTTCTGATGGATAGCTGTCAGTCACAAGGACTTTTAAACATTCAAATGTAGCCTTTTCTGTTGAATTGGTTAGGAAAGTTGTAAATGAATGACCGGTGTTTTTCCAGCGAAGACATCCTGATTCCATCAGTTCCCGGACAGATGTTGACTTTCCTTCCTTAAGTGATAATTGGTTTTCCTTCTCAAGGAGACTTGTTTGAATTCCTGAAGTAATGTTGGTTTTTATTCTAAAATGTAAGGAGCCACTTAAAAGAGACATTGTCTTTAGTAATGTAAACATGTTGTTTTCCACCACAGAGTGAATCCTGTCTCTGGTCATGTTAGCAGTTCTCATCAGCAACTTTTAATTACAGTCCATGAATTACCTCCTTCTTGTAGTTTTCCAGGCTTCAATCTTAGGATGGCATCAGTAGACTAGATAGAGTCCCAACCACACATCTTTCATAAAACTCAATTCGAATCATACATCGTATTTCATAGAATCATAGAATCCTAGAGTTGGAAGAGACCTCCTGGGCCATCCAGTCCAACCCCATTCTGCCAAGAAGCAGGAATATTGCATTCAAATCACCCCTGACAGATGGCCATCCAGCCTCTGCTTAAAAGCTTCCAAGAAGGAGCCTCCACCACACTCTGGGGCAGAGAGTTCCACTGCTGAACGGCTCTCACAGTCAGGAAGTTCTTCCTAATGTTCAGACACTTGTGTGTTCCTCGAGGGGTGGGACTGGATGGCATTTGGGTTATTATTACTATTATTATTATTATTATTATAACTTTATTTGTACCCCGCTAGCATCTCCCGCAGGACTCGATGCGGCTCACATAGGCCGAAGCCTCAAAACACAGTACAACAAAACACAGTATAACAAAACACAGTATAACAAAACAATACCTAAAGCAAATTAAAAACAGTTAAGCAGCAAAACAACAGCAATAACAATACGTCAAGACACTTTAAAACTGGGCCGGCCAGAGTAGTGGGTACAAGATTAAAAGTGCTGAAATGGTAGGAGGATTGTAGGATTATAAAATAAGTGCAGTGTGCAGTGTGCAGCAATCTTAGTTCTACTAAAGTGCTTCTAGGGCTTGGTATTGGGGTTCCTAATCTGAGAAAGCACATCGGAACAGCCAGGTCTTCAAGTTCTTTCTGAAGACTGCCAGTGTAGGGGCCTGTCTAAGATCTTTTGGGAGGGCGTTCCAGAGTCGGGGGGCCACCACAGAAAAGGCCCTGTCTCGAGTCCCCACCAAGCGCGCTTGCGACGCGGGCGGGATCACGAGCAGGGCCTCTCCAGATGACCGAAGTGAACGTGTGGGTTCGTAGACGGAGATGCGGTCACGCAGGTAGGGTGGTCCCAAACCGTTCAGGGCTTTGTAGGTAAGCACCTGCACCTTAAATTGGGCTCGGAAAATAAACGGCAGCCAGTGGAGCTCCTTGAACAGGAGGGTTGACCTCTCTCTGTAATGAGCCCCAGTTAACATCCTGGCTGCTGCCCGTTGGACCAGTTGGAATTTCCGAGCCGTTTTCAAGGGCAGCCCTACGTAGAGCGCATTGCAGTAATCCAATGTAGAGGTGACCAAGGCATGGACCACCCCGGCCAGATCAGCCTTCGCGAGGTACGGTCGCAGCTGGCGCACAAGTCTCAGTTGTGCAAAAGCCCTCCCGGACACCGCCGACGCCTGAGCCTCAAGCGAGAGCGATGAGTCCAGGAAGACTCCCAAGCTACGGACCTGTGACTTCAGGGGGAGTGTAACCCCATCCAACACAGGTTGCCACCTTATACCCCATTCCGGTTTGCGATCGACCAGGAGGACCTCTGTCTTGTCAGGATTGATCTTCAGCTTGTTCCTCCTCATCCAGATAGACACAGCGGCCAGGCACTCGTCCAACACCCGAGAGGCCTCCTTGGAGTTAGGTGGAAAAGAGTAGTAGAGTTGTGCGTCATCCGCATAGAGATGGGTTCCCCTCCATCTCACGGACTCACTCCCTGCTCCTTTGTCCATCCGCAGGTGCGTCTCCCGGTGAATGTGACGGTGCCGAGCCGCCCGCCACGCAACCGCTACGACCTGCACTGCATCCGCGAGGGCCACTGCTACAAACTGGTCAGCATCATCTCCAAGACGGTGGTGCTGGGCTGTGCAATGCGGGAGGCGGAGGTGTCGCCCTTCCACTTGCTGCTCTTGGCCGATGTACCGCGCTTCCTTCTGCCGGAGGGGCTGGCACTGCCGGGGGGACTACCGGACCCCCCGCTGGAGAGGCTCCTGCGTGACTGCACTGCTTTGTGCCAGGAGCGTTTCAACCCTAACGAGTACTCCCGGGCTGTGCGTGAGGCCAAGCCAGACCTGTCCGAAGAGAGCGTCGCCAGTCCCCGGCGCCTGCGGCTATGCCTCCAGGGCCGCTCCGCCCGCGACCAGGTGGCCCACTCCTTCCAGCGACTCTCCCTTTGCCTCTACAGTGCCGGCACCATCACTGCTGCGTCCTCCTCCTCCTGCTCGTCCTCCTCTGAGAGCTCTGGCCAAGACCTGGGCCCTCCGGCGGGAGGCGGAAGAGCTCCCCGGCGCCTGATCCTGCCACCCACCTTCCGCCCCCAGGAGCCCCCCGAGAGGGAGGAGTACGTGGCCCCTGACTGGGCCCCACCCCCCCTACGTCCCTCCTATGAGCGGCCCTACGAGGAGCTCTGGTCTGGGCAGAACTACGCCGAGGCCCCAAGTGGAAGGCCAGCGCTATGGGCAGAGGACCGGGTCCAGGTCGAGGGGGGACGCGACCTCAAGGGCTTCGCCGGACCCGCCTCCATGGACGCCCCGCCCCCTGTGCCCCCCAAGTCAGAGGCGGTGAGTGGGCCGTGGTGGGACTTCAAAGGGGGGCAGGTGTGGATCCATTGACAGGGGTTGGAGGCATTATATTATTGAAGTGGCAGGTAGTTCCCCTGACCTGGGACAGATTGCCTTTTGAGACTATTATTATTATTATTATTACTATTGCTATTATTTCAGACACAGAGAGGAAACAAAATTGTTGAATTGCCAAGGTTTAGAAACGGATTAATTGACAAGGGGTGGAATTATTATATTTTAAATTTCCATGTAGTTCATCTGACCCAGGATAGGTTGTCTTTTTAGGTTACGTTTGTTGTTGTTGTTGTTGTTGTTGTTGTTTCAGACATAGGAGAGGACCAAAGCAGCTGAGCTTGGCTTAAGGCAGGCATGGGCCAACTTCGGCCCTCCTTCCAGGTGTTTTGGACTTCTTTGCATGTCCCATGAGTTCCACATCACCACCTATTTAGCCCACAGTAGCTGTGTGACCACATGTCCATTAGAACTGTATTTTCCAACCAGTTATTCGCAATGGGGTTACAGTCAATGCATTCCTATCTAACAGTGCGTTCTGTACCTAACAGAGACTTCCTCCAGCATGGGAGTTGATTGGAGATTGCTATTTGATAACCCTAAGTCAGGCCTGGGCCAACTTCGGCCCTCCCTCCAGGTGTTTTGGACTTCAACTCCCACCATTCCTAACCGCCTATCGGCGGTTAGGAATGGTGGGAGTTAAAGTCCAAAACACCTGGAGGGAGGATTAAAGTTGGCCCAGGCCTAGCTAGACCCTGTTCCCCCCTTGGAATGGCATTGGCCTTGGTGGCTGCTGCATCACAACGAAGGTGCCCTGTCCTATCCTTGTTTTGCAGGTGCGGGAGGAATGTCGGCTGCTTGTGGCTCCGCCGGTGCCGCCCAGAGGGTCCCTCGGGCCCCCTGGCTCCAGCCCCCCGCCCTCGGTGCGCTTCCCCAAAGCCCAGGCCGGCCCTTTGCTTGCCTCCGGCCTCTCGTACTACTCTTCCGGCCTCCACGACGATGCGTGAGTAAGGGGCCGAGTGGGAGGAATTCTTAGGGAATCCCCGTGCCCCTTGTAAAGTCCCTGGTAATTTTGGGGTGCAGCATGACCCATGCATCTCCAAGCTTGGGCTCACATTACTGGAGCAGCTTTGGGTGTAAGACTGTAGGATCTATATAGCAATATTAAATGACCACTCACAAGCCGGCTTGCTTTGAAATGGATATATTGCTTGTATCTCTTCAGCCAAGAAAGACACTACTGACTTTTTCCCACCACCACTTCCTTTTTTACCCCTTTCCTGCCCATCTCCCCCTCTTCTCAGGTTCCTTATTAGAGCTTGTTGCTTCACAAGTTCCAATACAAGGTTTCCAGCGCCCTTGGCTGGCTTCAAAATGTCACAGAGGGAAAATTGAGGCAACCAGGATGATTCGGTCAGGGTGTCACAGAGGAAATTTGTGATGTCTTCATGCCATTGGAAATTGACTCCTGACATTGGGTGACTACAGTCTTTTGGAACAGCCCTTAGAAGACCCCTCCAGGTGTTTTGGACTTCAACTCGCACAATTCCTAACAGCCAGTAGTCCAAAATACCCGGAGGGCCCAAGTTTGCCCGTGCCTGATATAAGTTTTCTTTCCTCCTCAACTGCATAACACAAAAGGGTGAGATGTCCATCTTGGCTAACCGCATCTTCTCCCCTCTTTGCAGGCCTGTTCCTCGGAGCGGGAGCTGCTCCCCTTCCCCGGACACTTACTCCCTCTACTGCTATCCCTGCACTTGGGGCGACTGCAAAGTCGGGGAGACCCCCAACCGGACGATGCTGTGCGGCCCCCCGGCTCAGCCCCGCTCCCCTCCTCCGGCAGTCCCCTCAGCAGCGTCCGTATCAGGGCCTTTGTGGCCGGACCCTTGGCCTTATAGTGACCCAGGGCGGTCCACCCCATTGCTGGAGCCTGCCCAGAGCTGCCAGAGCTGCCCCCTCCTCAAGGGCCCCCCTCCCCAGAAGCGCTTTGCCCCCTTTGGGGCCTTGAACCCCTTCTCCAGCCCGGCTTCTTCTTCCTCCTCCTCCGACTGGCCGGAGCCCCTGGAGTGGACCCGGCCCCCCTCCCCAGAGCCCTTTGAGCCCTTCGGGGGGACACCCTCCCCACCACCCCGTGCCGCCCCGGCCTTTGAGCCCCCGCCGGCCGAGGCCACGGCCGCCTGGACACTGGGGTGTGAGGGGCCCGCGGGGCGGCTCTTCCTAACCGAGGTGCCCCCGACAACCGCCCGGCCCAGCGCCCGGCCCAACGGGGACGGCTCTCCCTGGCAGCCCCCCGGCGACCTCTCCTCCCTCTCGTTGGAGGGCGTCTCCCAGTGCCTGCGATTCATCGGCCTCTCGGAGGAACTGGCCGGACGCTTTGCCCGCGAGCGCATCGACGGCAGCATCTTCGTCCAGCTGACCGAGGAAATCCTTTCCGAAGACTTCCGGCTGACCAAGCTCCAGGTCAAGAAGGTCATGCAGTTCATCAAGGGCTGGCGGCCCAAAATTTAAGCGTGGATAAGGGTGGTCCGAAAAGCAGACCCTGGACATTGATTGGCCCAGAAAGATGAGAGGGACATCTTGACCTCAAACCCAATGAAAAGTTGGCACTTGGAGGGCAGAGCAGGGGGTCCTTGTTGGTGGGTTCTCACAGTGGCCAAAGGGCCGGGGTTCTTAGAAGATAATGGGGAAGGGGCTGCAATGGGGCATCTTCTTCCAGCATTTGGAGGAAGGAGGACCCTCTCCGAAGACTTCCAGCTGACCAAGCTCCAGGTCAAGAAGGTCATGCAGTTCATCAAGGGCTGGCGGCCCAAGATTTAAGCATGGACGGGTGGTCCAAAAAGTGGACCCTGGACATTGTCCAGAAAGATGAGAGGGGCACCTTGACCCCAAACCCAATGAAAAGATGGCATTTGGTGGACAGAACAGGGAGTCCTTGTTGGAGAATTCTCATGGTGGCCAAAGGGCTGGGGAGGGCGGTCATAGGAGGCGTTGGAGAAGGGCTTTCAATGGGGCTTCCCCTTCCTTCTCCAGCATTTGGAGGAAGGAGGATTCTCTCTGAAGACTTCCAACAGACCAAGCTGTAGGTCAAGGTCATGCAGTTCAACAAGGGCTGGTGACCCAGGATTGAAGCGTGGAAGGGTGGTCCAAAAAGTGGACCCTGGAAATCGGCTCAGAAAGTTAAGAGGGACATCTTGACCCCAAACCCAATGAAAAGATGGCACTTGGAGGGCAGAGCTGGAGGTCCTTGTTGGTGGGTTCTCATGGTGGCCAAAAGGCTGGGGATCTTAGGAGGCATTGGCTGCAACGGGGCTTCTCCTTCTTTCTCCAGCATTTGGAGGAAGGAGGACCCTCTCCAAAGATTTCCAACTGACTAAGCTCCAGGTCAAGAAGGTCATGCAGTTCATTAAGGGGTGGTAGCTCAAGATTTAAGCATGGAGCAGGAAAGCAGAGGGAGTAGAGAGATTGGCCCTGGGCATCACCCTTTCCAAGGTAGAAGGATGTGGCTGTTGGAGTGAAGTAGGACACTTGACCATGGACCACCCTCCAAAAGATGGTCTTGGAAGACAGGCCAAGGGGATCTTGCCAGTGAGTGGACCATGGAGGGGCCCAGTGGGGGGTTTCCACCATCCACTGCATTTGGCAGGAGGAGATTCTTCTCCAAAGACCGCTGGCTGACCAAACTCCAGGTCAAGATGGCCGTGTAGTCCATCAAGAGATGGAGGCCGAAGGTCTAAATGGGCAGTGGTCCAAAAAGCAGAGGAGAGGTTGACTATGGACATCTTTCAAAAAAAGAGAAGAGGAGATCTTGACCCCAAACTCAATGAAAAGATGGCACTCAGAGGGCAGACCAGGGGGTCCTTGTTGGTGGGTTCACCTTTAGATGGAGCTGGTGGCAAAAGGGAGGGCCAGGAATCCTTGGAAAGTGTTGGGGAATGGTCTACGATGCGGTTTTCCCTTTCTCCAGCAACTAGAACAAAGAGGCAGGCTCAGAGCTTCCCTCAGCCCCATTGCCAGTCCTGTGGGGCCCTATTGGTGCCTCCACTCCACAGTTGGTGGTGAGATGGCACCACATAACCCAATACTAAACCCTTTTGTGTATTGACGCAGGGTGCCACAAAGTAGAGGATGATGCCTGAGTTGCTCTTCACGGAATTGGGTGAAAGTGTTAGAAAATTATGTTAATTAATGGCATTGAGAAAATGAAGCTGAGAACAACGAAGTCCATGGCTTTGTTGTGTGGAAGACATGTATCTCAGTGATGTGTCCAATTTGGGGCTGGTGGTGGGGCCCAAAAAGAAGAAGATGAGGAGGTGGTGGTGGTGGTGGAGGAGGTGAGCTTGGCTCTGGTCCACCAGAAAATGGGTTCGGAGGACAACTCTTGGGGCAGGAGGGTTGGGGGACTGGCAGAAAAGACCACCTTTCCTGCAGCAGGAACGATCCTAATAGGCATGGTCCTTCAAGAAGGCTCCTCTCACCAAAGAATTCTTCTTTCCGTCCCTGTTTTCTGGAAGACTCAAGTTCTAAAGGGTGGCCTTGGCCAAGCCACACTCTCTCAGCCGCAGAGGAGGGTCAGGTGACCAAGGTTGGCTCATTCTCAGATTGAGGTGGCTCTGAACCCCTTCTGGACCCCTTGCTCAGAAAAATGCCTGGCGGGCCCACCTTTTCTGTTGTGGTGCTTATTGCTTTCAAGCCATTTCCAACTTAAGAGTGTCCTCCTCACAGGGTGAGACTTGTGGTGTCCTTCTCACAAGATTCCTTCAGAGGGCCTGGCTTTTTCCTTCCTTCTGGGGCTGAGAGAGTGTGACTTGCTTAAGGTCACCCAGGCAGAGAGAGGATGTGGAAACTGCCTCGCCCTGCCGTTGTCCTCATTGGCATTCAAAGAACTACAACACGCTAGGATGGGTTGGAAACAATGCGAAGCCCCATCTCTAACGACACAGAATGTCTATTTGGGGTGCATTTCCTCCTATTGCACACCCCCTTCCCCCAAATTATACATCTCTACGTAGTCAATTGGCTCCCCACCCAATGCAGTGGAAGGTTAAAGTAATAATTATAAAATTCAAAAATATGATGCCCACTCCAAAAGAAATGTTATCTCCCCATCAAAATGTGGGAGGCCAAGGCTGGGGGTAAAGATTGCACAGGCTGTGTGTTGCGTGGCTGCTTCTGGTCAGTTGCCCCACTCACTGCCCCATTTGCAGACCCCATGAGGAAGGGAAGAGAAGGAGGGAAACAAAGCAACCCATTGAAAAGTGTGCTCTCAGAGCCAGTCCCAGGAATGGTGCCTGCCTTCGTTCCAGGTGACCCTGAGCAGGTTAAGAGTTGGACAGGGAAGCAGGTTAACAAAACAAGAATTTGGGGAGGGGGCCTCAGTCCTAGGAATCCGGTCTCTTAATCATTTTTGGGGTCTGTGCAACCCACACTCATGGCAAAAATGAAGGCGAAAGTAGCCCTGACCTGCTGGATTTCTGTGGGCCTGGTTTACGTCTGTGACGAGGTCACCACACTAATGCTGCCTCTCTCGTGTTTTGCACTATTTGCAGACTGCCCTGGGCACCTTTCCATGTGGCCAATGACCACCATACTTTGTGCAAGCAAAAGGCTCAAGGTGCTGGCTTTGGGGCCTCAACTGTCCCAAAGGCCACTACTGCACAATGCAACACCAGCATTCAGCATTGAGCTTCCAGACAGCACTAAATCACGGGCCCAAAAATCCCGGGACTTCAGAAGAGGTCCACATACAGACCTGTTTAGTCAGACCATCCAGCCTCTGCTTAAAGACCCCTAGGAAGGAAGGAGACCCTCGGGCAGCTGCGTATTCCCATGCAGAACGGTTCTTCATGTTTAGAAGAAGACTGGGCGGTTTCGGTAGCCCTTCATGGCTCTCTTTGGGCGCTTCCAGACAGCACTAAATCACGGGCCCCAAAATCCCGGGACTTCAGAAGAGGTCCACATACAGACCTGTTGGTCCCGGGATTTCTGCCTCCGTTGTCCAGACCTGATGCTTTGCTGCAAGACTTAGAGGCTCCCAGATGCACCGGCTGCGCTGCCCAGAGTTGGTGGGACTTGCAGTCCAAGACAGTCTCCGTAATCCCCGTGTGCCCAGTGTGGCCTTACGTTGGGCAGCCAGAGGCCTCTGAGGGTTTGCCAGGTACCTTTTTAAGTGCACTATGAGCACAAGTATTGCTTTCCATGCTCCTCTTGCTGCCTTATGAGCCTCTTGACTCATCCCTCGCCTTTGGGCCAGTGAAGCTCTGATGTCACTTGCCACCTCTTTCCAGCAGCAGCTGTCCCTTGATACCTAGAACTCCAAGCTAACATCTCTCAGCAAAGGATTCCCCCAGGCAGCAACCAGCCAGGCTTTGAAGCTGCAAGGCCATTCCATGCTAATCAAGGTGGCCATTTGCAATCTTCAGACAAGAGTTCTTTCTCCCACCCTGGACGTCATTCCACAGATAAATAAGACCCACTTGCCTAGTTTCCAACAGACCTCAGAACCTCTGAGGATGCCTGCCAAGATGTGGCCGAACCATCAGGAGAGAATGCTTCTGGAACATGGCCAGACAGCCCCGAAAACTCACAGCAACCCAATGCTTCTGGCCATGAAAGCCTTCAGCAACACAATTACAAGTTCCTTTCTGAATGCCTTATCTTTTGAGCACAGGTTGGGCGGGCGGGGTGAGCAAGGGGTTGGCCGGTTCACACCGAAGAATGCCTTGTGTTTCTACCTTTTAACGACTGCCGTAGTCAAATAAACCAGTTTATTTAAAAAAAGACCTGTGTCTGGAATCTGGGTGAGGGTGGGAACAAGCCGTTCAGCAGTGGAACTCTCTGCCCCGGAGTGTGGTGGAGGCTCCTTCTTTGGAGGCTTTTAAACAGAGGCTGGATGGCCATCTGTCAGGGGTGATTTGAATGCAATATTCCTGCTTCTTGGCAGAATGGGGTTGGACTGGATGATGGCCCAGGAGGTCTCTCCCAACTCTAGGATTCTATTATTTAAGTCACTCTCTCTCAGCCTCAAGAGCTCAAAGGCAAGCCTGGGGGTGAGCAGCTGTTTTTAATCCAAGCCCTCCTGACAGATGCCCATCCAGCCTCTGCTTACAGACCCCCAGGGAAGGAAGGAGACCCTCGGGCAGATGCATATGCCCATGCAGAACAGTTCTTCAAGAGAATGGGGGGGTCTCTTTGGCCTTTTTGGTGGCCTTTCATGGCTCTCTTCGGGCGCTTCCAGACAGCACTAAATCACGGGCCCCAAAATCCCAGGACTTCAGAAGAGGTCCACATACAGACCTGTTTAGTCCCGGGATTTCTGCCTCTGTTGTCCAGACTTGATGCTTTGCTGCGAGATTTAGAGGCTCCCAAGATGGCCACCATGAGAATTCTGCCAGAAACTTTGGCAGAGATTCGGATATGTGAATCTCTGCAAAAGTTCTGTTCTTTCCTGGCCAGAAAACTGTGCATACCGGACGCTTCACGAAGTATCTGCCACGAAAACAAAGTTTACGGGGTAGGACCACTTCTGCCCAAGTCAGCACTGCGCAATCAAACAGGAACACAAACTTTCAAGCCAGGAACAGAACTTTGGTATTATTGACACTTTTTAGAGCCTGGCTGCATGGCCATCTGTCCAGACAGATTTGGTTCTGTACTTGTGGCATAGAACAACAAGATGCTATTCCTGGGTTACACATGGCTGTTCCTGGTTGCTCTTACTGTGAAAAGATGTGCAGTGTTCCCTTGTCACTTTGTGGTTTGCTTTTCGCGGACTCACCGTTTCGCGGTTTTCCTTCCTTGCTACTCACTCCTCTTCTCTCCTTCTTCAGGATTCCATTTGTGAGCCATAGGTCTTCTCCTTGTCCTTCTCCCAAGGAACTGCACATGCAATGCTTTGTTGTGCCAGCTGTCAGCTCTGGTTTGGAGTACAGTGTTCTTGTACTAACTCTTTGCCTGCTGTGCTTTGAGAAGTTTCCGATTATTGACTTCAATTAAAGCAGGTTCTTGGATTTCCTTGACATATTCTGCCATTATTATTATTATTATTATTATTATTATTATTATTATTAGCCTGATCGGCTAAGGCACTGAGAAAGTCCTGTTTCTGCCACCGGGACGCGGCCTGGTGAGTAGCAAGTGAGCAAGGGAGGGCGGGTGAGTGAGCGAGGGAGGGCCGCAAATGCAGAAGCAGAACCCTGGCCGCCTCTTCTCGCTCGCTCACTGGTCCAAGTTCTGGTTCTGCCGCTGAAACATAACACCCGCGATAAGCGAGGGAACACTGTGCAGCGCTGACAAGCGGGCCAGAACTTTGTCCTGGCCAGAGAAAATGGACCCTCCACATGTTTCATGAAGTTTCTGGCACACAAACAAAGTGTTTGCCTTCTACTCAAGTGTCGCCTTCTTTTAAGGAACCAATCAATCAGGAACAAACATCTACAACCCAGGAACAAATCCAGATTTTAAAAAAATCATGATTTCCGAATGCAGGGACATATACAGACATGCGAAGATCTGCATATTCGCGGATTTTAGCTTTTCGCGGGTGGTCCTGAAATGTAACACCCGTGATAAGTGAGGCAACGCTGTGCAATGTTGGCAAGCGGGCCACAACTTTGTCCTGGCCAGAGAAAATGTGCCTTCGGATTTTAGCTTTTCGTGGCTGGTCCTGAAAAATAAAACCCGCGATAAGCGAGGGAACACTGTGCAGCGTTGACAAGTGGGCCACAACTTTGTCCTGGCCAGAGAAAATGGACCCTCCACATGTTCCATGAAGTTTCTGGCACACAAACAAAGTGTTTGCCTTCTACTCAAGTGTCGCCTTCTTTTAAGGAACCGACCAATCAGGAACAAGCATGTAAAACCCGGGAACAAACCCAGATTTAAAAAAAAATGTGATTTCTGAATGCAGGGACATATACAGACATGCGAAGATCTGCATATTCGCGGATTTTAGCTTTTCGCGGGTGGTCCTGAAATGTAACACCCGTGATAAGTGAGGCAACGCTGTGCAATGTTGGCAAGCGGGCCACAACTTTGTCCTGGCCAGAGAAAATGTGCCTTCCACACATTTCATGAAGTTTCTGGCACACAAACAAAGTGTTTGCCTTCTACTCAAGTGTCACCTTTCTTCTCAGGAACTGACCAATCAGGAACAAGCATCTAAAACCCAGGAACAAAACCCAGATTTTTTAAAAAATCATGATCTTCGAATGCAGGGACGTATACAGACATGCGAAGATCTGCATATTCGCAGATTTTAGCTTTTCGCAGATGGTCCTGAGACGTAACACCCGCGATAAGTGAAGGAACGC